TTGGGGCCTGGTGCAGTGTTTCATGCCTGTAATCCTAGCACTCTGAGAGGCTGAGGCTGGAGGATTACTTGAGGTCAGGAGTTCAAGTCCAGCCTAAGCAAGATAGAGGACCCATCTCTGCTAAAAATAGAAAAAATTAGCTGGATGTGGTGGCATGTGCCTGTAGAGCTACTCGGGAGGCTGAGGCAAGAGATAGCTTGAGCCCAGGAATTTGAGGTTGCTGTGAGCTAGGCTGATGCGACGGCACTCTAGCCTGGGTGACAGAGTGAGACTGTCAAAAAAACAAAACAAAAATAAAAACAAAAACCCAAAAAACACATTTGATAGTATGCATTTAAGAAGTACTTACTGAACATTTGTTATATGCCAGACACTCTGCCAGGCTGTAGGATACAGAGAGAAACTCAAGACCTATTGGAGTTAGAAGAAGCAGCACAGCAGACCTTGATGGCATGTAGAAGGGAACAAACTTGATCATCCATCAATTCATACGTAAAGTCAAATTGTGTTTATTGCTATCAAGGAAAAGCAGGGAGCTGGAAGAGGGGATCCTAATTTAGATTAGACATCAGGAAAGTCCTTTCTGAGGAGATCCCATTTACACTGAGACCCAGAGTGTGAGTAGGAGTTAGGAATGAGAAGAGTTCCACATGGAAGGGTGGAAGCGAAAGCCTTGTGGAAGGAAGAAGCTTGATGGTAGGAGGAACTGAAAAGAGTGGTACAAGGCCCAAGTGTAGCTCCATCGTGATAGTAAAGGTCATCGTCATGGCAGACCTTAGGATGCTGAGCTTTTTTGCTTATAAGCCATGGCGATGACAAAGCACTTTATCCTAAGAGCAATGGGGACATTCTGTGGGGATTTAAATAGGGGGTTCTCTTTACATTTGGAAAAGGTTTTTGTTTTTGTTTTTTTTGTTTGTTTATTTATTTTGAGACAGTCTCACTCTGTTGCCTGGGCTAGAATGCCGTGGCTTTAGCCTAGCTCACAGCAACCTCAAACTCCTGGGCTCAGGCAATCGTCTTGCCTCAGCCTCCCAAGTAGCTGGGACTACAGGCATGCACTACCATGCCTGGCTAATTTTTTCTATATATTTTAAGTTGTCCAGCTAATTTCTTTCGATTTTTTAGTAGAGATGGGGTCTCGCACTTGCTCAGGCTGGTTTTGAACTCCTGAGCTCTACCGATCCATCTGCCTCTGCCTCCCAGAGTGCTAGGATTACAGGTGTGAGCCACTGCGCCCAGCCAAAAGGATATTTATTATCTCATGTAAAAATAAATAAATCCAGTGGCCGGGTGCAGTGGCTTACCGAAGTCTCAGTGAGTAACAGTGAAACTGATTGTCTCCTACAGATCCAAGTTCAAACTTGTCTATTTTTTACAGTGTCAATACTATTTTCCTAGGAACCCTAGATTTAGTTAAAGCTCTGATATATTCCTTTTCTCCATATTCTATGTCCATGTAGTTGCTGAGTCCTCCTGAACCTTCCTCTCCATCCCTACCTCCTTACTCCCTTACCATCCTCAGCTTCCTAATCTTTCTCCTTCTAGATTCTTCCACCTTCAATGAATCATACACTGATGTGGCCTGATTACAGGATGGGGGATGGACACAGAACATAAAATAATGACAGACACACACAGACTGGTGTCCAATGCACCATTCGCTTTATTTTTATACCCCCCAGACCCAAGGTTAGTTCCTTGTACGTGAGCAACTGAGCATAGCAGTGATATCTATCAATTCCAGAGTTGTATCACAAGGGAACAATGGTCCCATGCTCTCAGACCTCAAAACGGTTAAGGTGCTGGACATAGCTCAAAAGCCAAGGCCAAGATAAGCAACATAAAGCAATGCAGCCATTTGAAGTACTTCTTGTTCTCTTTTCCAGCCGGTGGCTCCTTCCTGGCCCCCATGGTTTTGTCTGTCTTAGGTTGTCCCTAACTTGAGGAGTCTTACCTGTCATTGACTACCAATCATCAAATGGAGGCCAGTCCTTGGGAAAGTTCTTTTTTATCCTTATGGCCTCCAGACTCCCACCATGGGGGCCCTCCGTGTGGGAGCTGGGCAACATTTGCTTACATGCAGAAACTGAGGCCTCTTGTCATGTCACGAGGCAGCAACCGTGTCTGAAGAAAATGCTGACTACCGCTGCGTTAGGCAGCACACGTACATTACAGGCTATAGTGAATGATTACTATAAGGCATAACACCAGAATCAGCCCCCAACAATATACCACATACCATATATATATGCATTTGCTATTTTAAGAACTTAAAGTAGCATTTTAGAATTTATTGAATTCTTCTACTTCTCGCTATCCAATACATCAGGAGTCCTCAGACTTTTTAAACAGGGAGCCAGTTCACTGTCCCTCATACCATTGGAGGGGTGGATTATAGTTTAAAAAAAACTATG